TCTTTCTTTCTTTTTTTTTTAATTTTTCCTTTCTTTTTTTGCTTTATTTGAGACAGGGTATCACTATGTGGCCATTGGCTGTTCTGGAGCTCACTATATAGAACAGGCTGCCTTTGAGCTCGAGGTCTCCCTGCCTCGGCCTCCCAGGTGCTGGGATTTATCTATGTATTTCTTAAGGGATATAGTGTAAATGCATTTTTAAATTCAGAATCAGGAAAAAAAAAGCAGTGACATTAGTTTTGCTAAATTTCAATCTTTTTCTTTTTTTTGAGCTGAGGATCTAACCCAGGGCCTTGCACTTGCTAGGCAAGTGCTCTACCACTGAGCTAAATCCCCAACCCCAAATTTCAAAATTTTAAACAGAAACTTGTGAGCTCATGTAAGTTGAGAATGTTTAGGGTATTAAAGAATCATAGGATAATTGGGAAATTCTTTAACATACATCAAGCAGATTGTTTTTTAAAGGGATAAGTATGTGTTCACCTCATGAAATTGTTGTAAGGTATTTGCATGGTATATTTTAGAAAAAAATGTGGCCTAGATTATTTGGGGTAGAGTGAAATTTTTGTAGACTTGCAGATAATCCTGCTCTTACCTTGAGTCATGAAAACAGGTGGATGTTGTGCTGAACTGGTTTAAAGCCTTCCTTTGTATGTAGATGTCTAACTATAAGCTTTGGGTATCTTTGGGCTATACTCTTGAGAGTTGTTTTGTGTTTTGATTTTTGTTTTTGAAACAGGGTTTCTGTGTAGCCCTGACTGTCCTGGAACTGTAGACCAGGCAAGCCTCTAACTTACAGAGACCCTCCTGCTTATGCCTGCTGAGTGCTGGGATCACAAGTGTGCACTGCTACTGCCTAGCTGAACTTTTGACAGTTTTATTTATAGTAACTTTAAAAGTATTTGAACATAATATTGTTAGTTGCTAATTTTATACTTTAAAGCAAGCTATAGTGAATAAAGTAACTTCTGATTTTTAAGTTCCATTAATTAGGAGACTGCTCATAGTTTGTAAGTTCTAGGAAAGGGAAAATATATATATTAAGGGAAACTATATGATTGAAAGAGAATTTGTCTGAAAGAGTGACTCTTAAAAGTCCCCCAGAACAATTTACCATTTAAGGAGATCCTTAATTGTGAAAGGTGTATAGGACACTTCTGTCATAGTTTTAGAATACATTTGATATATCATCGTTTCTTTTATTTGGATCTCTTTATTGTTGTTCATTAGTCATTGATCTGGGTTAGTGTAAGAATGCCATGAAGTCTCCTCTCCCAAATATAATGTAATAAGTAATAAGAAAGTATGTTGCTATGTGTATTTAAATTTAGGGTGGTGCACAATTGTGTATGAGTCAATGCATTTTTAAAAGAACATACTCTCTAGCCCAAAAGATGGAAGTACAGAATATTAGATATCTTGAACTCATTTTGTGTGTGTGTGTGTGTGTGTGTGTGTGTGTGTGTGTGTGTGTGTACACACTTATGGAGATCAAGGGTTGACATCTGGTCTTTTTGGTTTGAGACAGAGTTTCTCTGTAGCTCTGGCAGTCTTGGAACTCACTCTGTAGACCAGGCTGGCCTTGAACTCAGAGATCTGCCTTGCCTCTGCTTCCTGAGTGCTGGGATTAAAGGCATGTGCTATCATCACCCAGCTTGGTATTTCTTTTTTAAATAAATTTTTTAAATTAGTTGAAAAAATTTAAATTTTAAAATTAACTTCTCTCCTTCCTTTACTTTTCTGTTTGAGATGAGGTAGCCCCCTGAATTAGGAGCTTGCTGATTGAACTAGACTGGTTGACCTGGCTGGGGAGCCCTAGGAGGTTCTTGTGGTGCTTCTTGCCTTACCAGTGCTGGGATGATGGCACTTGTGTGATACTGTTTCACTTGGGTTCTGGGGATTGCACTCAGGTCCTCATGCTTGTAAAGACTGACTGACCTATCTCCCTACCAGGCCCAATAACTAATTCTTAGGTTGAAGAATGAGTTTTTAAACATATATAAGTGTTCTAAATTTCTTACTTCTTTTAGTGAAACTTAGACATGGTTTTCAGGTTAGGTTAAGTTAAAGATTTATGTCCTTTTAGAGAGGACCCATGGGAGGGTGGGAAATTTCAGAGTCCATTTAAGAGGTACAGATTTGTGTGCTGTCTCTAGGACTCTCTTGTAGGACTTTAGATAAGTCATATGCCACCCCTCCCCTAATTTGTCCCTTAATTTATTTCTGAAGTGGAGAGGTCAGTGAAAATCACTGCAAATCCAATTAGCTCTAATATTCCACGGTTTTTGAAATGAAGAGAAATATGTGTCATGTGTGGAACTGGTGAGACAGAGGGTGGGAATCGGAGGCATGCTTGTGAGCATGGGGCTGCAGTCCTTCATGATGTTTGATGGACATGGAGAGCCTCCCTACATACTGTTTTTGTTTACTTCAAGGGGTTATCAGCAGCAAGATGCCCACGAATTCATGCGCTACCTTTTGGATCACCTACACTTGGAACTTCAGGGTGGCTTCAATGGTGTTTCCAGATCAGCAATTCTACAGGAGAATTCTACTCTGTCTGCAAATAACAAATGCTGCATGTAAGACTTAGCTTACTTTTGCTCTACTCAGAAATGTGTGTGGTGTATATATGTGTGCGCATGCACTCGCACACCTGCCACCTGCTTTTGCATTTACATTTACATCTTGATGTGGTTCTCATTATTTTTGGTGAGATTTAATTAGCATTTAAAAGATTTTCTACCAGATATACTGAATAATGTAATACTACTGAGAGCAGGGACCCAATCTGTAATCTCAGAACATTGGATTGTGGGTCCAATTCCACACTGAGCTAGTAGTGTCTCTTGCACACACAGTAGTAATGTTTGCTAAAAGCATTTCTTTCTTCTTGAGTAAAACTGAGAAATTAGTAAGTTTTCTGAATTTTTCTTGTCCCTTACTGTGAACAAAACCTTTTGTCTTGTTTCCTCTGTATTAACAGTCTGAGACATACTCTGATATCAGAACAGCTATTTTGCTGAGAAGGAAAGTCTTTATTATTTCAGTATGGATTCTAGTTATTTACATCTTTTAAAGACAGCTTTACTCTGTAGCCCTGGCTAGCCTGGGACTTCCAGAGCATGCCTGCTTCCTGAGTCTGCACCGTGCTCAGCCCTTCTCAGTTGTCAGTATTCTTTAGAGAGGATTCTTTATGTAGGAGAGGACTTAGAAGACACTAGTACTTTCTGGCCGTTGGCACTCACCCTCCAATCCTGCAGTGTCACTGAAGAGTGACCGGTATGAATTACCAGCTTACTCCAGGACCCTGAAGTTCCAGTCAGAGTGCATGGGAGAAAGGGAAGTCTAAGATCCGGTCAAGCTGTTTGTTGTCCTAGCACCCACTTAAAAAGTATTAAATCAGAATCTGTTTGTATATTATTATAGCATGTTCCTATATAAAACTAATGATCTGTGCTCTATTGAAGATAACCTGTCTGAAATGAGAGCGTATGTGTCCTCAGTGTCTTATGAGCCTGGGGCATTCCAGTGGAACTGCACTGTATAAATCTTCATGGGATATAATTTTAGTATTAGTCTATTTAAAGACTAGCAATTGCAAGTTTGAAGGAAAAATATGTCAAATACTAAAGCTTCCCCTTTATTTGCTTCATTTCATGGGAGGATGTTTCAAGATCTAGAGATATTTGTTAAAAGCACTTCTGAAAGCTAGGAGTGGGGTGGTAATGAGATAGAAATGCCCAGACTGTTGTTAGCACTAATACAACAGAACAGCAAGCACTTTGGAAATTATTTATTAATCTTAATGCCATGCTCACCAGATGGCTGAAACTTGATTTCTCCCAGGAAATGATTATGAGGAATGAGTTTTAATGCACTGCTTTTTAATGAAGCAGTTTCCATTTCAATTAAAGGCAACTTTGCATGTGTACATTAGCATGCAAGGGTCAATTGTCATAGAACTCTTCATTTTCATAGAACTTGTATGTTCTTTGGTTATGACACAGGTATAAATGGAAAACCTGAAATGGCTGTTATGTCCTGTAGTTCCTAATGTCCCTTCAGCCTTTTAAAATCCATTTATTTTGCATGTAGTGAAGTTGCTTGGATAGTTTTTTGTCTACCATCATGGCAGTAGGTTTAACGTGGTGTGGTGCAGAAATCTCTGCTCAGTGTAAGAGAAACTGGTTGATGCAGGCAAAATGGTATTTTCTGGTTCAAGTAATTGAACAAGGCTCACAAACAAGTATTTGTTGTAATATTATTATTATTACAGGCAGGGTCTCTGTGCAGTCACTGTACTTGCTATATAGATCAGGTTGGTTTTGAACTCTTGGAGATCAGCCTGCCTCTGCCTCCTGAGTGCTGGGATTAAAAGTGTATTCACTGACCCTTGGCCATTATAGCTCTATTACTGAGAGCAGACACTGAAGCATCTCAATATCCATTGGTAGTGTCTTGGTTAAATAAAGGGCTTAATGTGGAGAGCAGCTGCATGACCTAAGCTGGGTCCTGACCCTCTGTCTCAGCATCCTGGACTGCAAAGCAGGAACAGCAGTATATATATATATACACAGCTCTGAGCGCTCACTTCACAAACAGGTGCTCAGAATAGAACCCACAGACAGGACACTTGCTACCCCAGGTACCCTTTCTTCTTCCTGAGCCTGTGGTGGGTCTGGAACCGAGAAACAAACTTATGGGGAAAAAATACCAGCAAGCGAAGGTGTTGCCTGACTTTTTGCTGATAAAATAATGATGAACACCCGAAGTGCTGTTTGGAGTGAGGGTTTTATGTCTAGCAAGTCTTGGAGTCAGGTGCTCCTCCTGTCGCTCTCCCTGCTCACGCAGCTGGAGCAGAGGAATAACCATGTCAGAGCACTCAGGTGCTGAGTTTCTCGTTGCTTGGTAAGGTGGTGTCTTTTTATTTACACTGTTTTTATGAAATTGTTGTACTTTTGACAAGGGCGCACTGGTACACAGCACCTTTTTTACCTGTAGTGGTTATTAACTCAAGCTGTAGTAAATGTCTTTATTTCCTCAGGTTGAGGATATGACATCAAGTAGTTTGGAACATTCTGTAGCCTCAGCAAGGCCTTGCACAGTGCAGGAGTAAAACGCAAGGCCGCACTTTTCTGATGGGTGTATTCTGCTGGGGAAGCCGTCATCTATCACATGTGCAGTCATTCATGAGATCTGTTTGCCCAGTGTTAATGTCTTAAGAACTAAGAACAATTTTTATGAGCTGTTTCCCATGTGGTGTTTCTTTAGAAATGGAGCATCAACTGTTGTCACAGCAATATTCGGAGGAATTCTCCAGAATGAGGTCAACTGCCTCATCTGTGGGACAGAGTCGAGGAAGTTTGATCCATTCCTAGGTAAGGGGACTGGCACGAGCTGTGCTGCTGGGTTTTGTTGTTGTTTTTTGTTTTTTGGTAAATCTGTAGTGAATTCAAGTGCCTTTAATAACTCTGGTTCTCTTCTTTTAAGATCTCTCTTTAGATATTCCAAGTCAGTTCAGAAGCAAGCGCTCTAAGAACCAGGAAAGCGGGCCAGTTTGCTCATTACGAGGTATGGGCATTTTAATGTTGCTATCCTGTTAGCTCACAGTCTGGGCAGCTTTTTATCTGTGTGTGGTTCACACTGTGTTGTACTTACTACTCCCAGACCCTGTAGGAAGAACACCTCCACATGGTTGGTCAACGAAGGGTAAATACTTAGGTTTCTCCTCTTTACCTTTGTGGTGTTGTTTCTCAAGTCAGAGACCCTGACTGTTCTGATCTCACTCTGTAGACCAGGCTGGCCTCAAACTCACAGCGATCTGCCTGGCTCTGCCTCCTGAGTGCTGGGATTAAAGGTGTGCGCCACCACTGCCTGGTGAAAAAGTATATTTTGAGGACTGGTGTTTTGAGGGAACAGGAGAACTCTAGAAATCATACTAAGGAATGGATAGACTCAGAAGCTATACCTCACATGGACCCACCAAATATTATTATTTCTAAAGGGAGTACTCCAGTGTAATCAAACCTGGGAATTTCAGTACTTCACCTTCCTTAGTGGACAGACAGACAGAAAATCTGAGTTGAGCCATACTATGAAGCAAATGAGCATTTACAGAATATGTATTGCAGCTGCAGAGTACACGTTCTTTTCAGTACATGCAGAATTCTTTAGGAAAGATCAGATGCTAGGCCAAACATGGAAGTCTCGGTGTGGTGGTCCATGCCTGTAATCCCAGCACTAGGGAAGCCAGGACAATTTCACATTTGAGGCCAGCCTGGGCTTTTTGGTGAGATCCTGTCTCAAAACAAAGAAGTCACAACAGAGGAAAACTGTAAATTAAGGAGGATATACAAGGGAAACAACTTGCTCTTAAATGACCTTGAAGATAGAAGGAAATAAAACATCTAGAAACATGAAAATGACAACATTAGAAGTAATATTGATAGAGGCTATGCAACAGATATATACATAAAGATGGGCAGAATAAAGGTCAAATTGGAAATAAAATTGAAACTACTAGGAAAGTGTAAAAGCTTTTTGAAAAGATAAAAAATCCGACCAATCTATAAATAGACTAAGCAAGAAAGTGAAGACCCAAATAAAACCAGAGAGGATGGATACCATAAAAATACAAAGAAATCATGAACCATTCTTTCAAATTCTGAAAAACTATACAAGACATGGGTAAATACCTGAACACATACAACCTACCAAAATTTAGCCAAGAAACACAAAGTATAAACAGATGAGTAATGGGCTTGAAACAGTAATTGAAGGCCCACACCTTCCTTGATGTTCCCATCTCAAGACACCACTGCACTGGCCTGGTAGATCCTATCTTTTACAGGGAAATGGGTGGAACCAGAGGATGTCATGGTAAGTGAATAATAAATTAAAAAATGCAAATAATAAAAATAAATAATAAATAAACTAGACACAGATATGGATCACATGTTCCTACTCACACTTGAAAATGAAGACATACCAACAACTTGAAAGTAGAAATAATGGGAATGATGTGCATCACCACGGTGAACCATTAATCTGTACAATTAGTATGTGTTAGCTACAACAAATTGAGATGGAAGGAATTCTGCTCAGCTGTCTTCATAAAGCATCACTCAGTATCTTCCTGTGGTGATATAAAGGAGCTGACATACCAATGTTTCTGTAAAATAGAAAATGTAGTACACAAATAAAATGTAAAAAAGCCACACCATAACCAAGTGGGAGTCATCCTAGGGATGCAAGGATGGTTCAACATACTCAAACCAATAAACATGATACAGAATAGCAACAAAATGAAAGACAGAATCCCTGCAGTTATAATTTATGTGATAGAAAAAAGGTTTGATGAATTCTAAACACATTAGAAATAGTCCTAATACCAAAGGCTGTATAGTAATAAAGTATGTGACTGACATTGAAAGAATCTAGAAATTAGTCCATGTTGATACAGCCAACTACTTTTTGACGAAGATGCAAAATTGTATCCACATATACAGAAGATACAGAAGAATGGAACTAAAGTCTCCTCATTGAATAAAAATATGAACTCAAAATGATCATCTCCCCCTTTTAAACCACTTGCAGGGGCATGTTGAATTTATTTATTATGTAGAGATGGAAATGTGTGATTACCTGTAAGTCTTGCACATGTGTCAAGTCTCCTGCAGAGCTGGACCTGGGCATTTTCCTAGGCTGTCCTATTTGAGTGTGTTATTAGAGACTCTAACCTTGTACTCTATTCAAGCCCTCTCCTTTCCAGTGAATTTGTATGTTATGCCCTGGAGGCTTCTGTCAGTGACGTCTTCCCTCAAGCACCCTACTGTCCTATTACAAATCCTATTGTCCCAACATGAGGTGCAAACATTTAAGTTGTATTACATTCGTGTATGTGTGGAGGTCAGAGGACAGCTTGGAGAAAGAAGTCTGTTCCCTTGTCTACCGTGTGGGTCCTAGCAGTCATACTCAGGTTGTCCGACTTGGCAACAAGTGCCTTCACCCACTCACCGAGCCAGCTCACTGGCTCGTCCTCAGGAGATTGGTCGTAATGGCATTAATCGTTTTAACAAAAGTCTTCTTTGGTCAGACCACTTCAGAGTTTCAAATCTGCTCACATACCCGCTTCACCAACTGCAAATGTTCTTAATGTTTGCTCTTCCCTTCTGTCAATCAGGCCAAAAGCAGTGAGGCACAGCTATGCTACAACCTGTATACTACACTGTTTTTAAAATTTCCTCCACCAAGTCAGCTAGTCCACAACATAATTCAGCTTTACTCAGGGTAGCAGGACATAGGCAGATGTTACAGATTGTAGCCTGAATGCCCAATTCCAATAAAGTCCTTGAACCCTCCTTAGCCTATTTTACTGTCTGCATTTCTGTTGGTGTTCTGATCTTCTACACTCCTGCCAGAATGGCCATTATGCTGCTGACACAATTCTAGGGCTTCTCTACCTAGCTGCTCCAAACTTGTATATTCTTTCTACAAACCATTTTTAAAGGCCCACAAATCAAAAAAGGTCAGACTTATCACAACAAAGACAACCTTTCTTGGTGACACATTTCTCACTGCTGTGGTAGCAGCACAGAGGAGAAGGGGTTATTTTGACTCGTGGTGTAGGAGGTTACAGTCCACCTGGTGGGAAGGGCACAAAAGCAGCTTGTGGCATAACTTACTATCTCATGGGCTAGGAAGCACAGAGCTCATGGCAAATCCTACAAGACCCATTTCCCAGCAGCCCACCTCCTGTAGCCAGATTGCACAGCCTGCCCAAACAGTGCCGTGGTCAGTTGAAACCAGGTGTTCAAATCATGGTCTCATGGTGAAACATTTCACATTTAAACCGTAACGACCCTGCTACTTAAAGTGATCACTTAGCCTCTTTTTGGTTTTTTTGAGACAGTTTCCCTGTGTAGTTTTGGTGCCTGTCCTGGATCTTGCTCTGTAGGCCAGGCTGGCCTCAAACTCAGAGATCCACCTGGCTCTGCCTCCCAAGTGCTGGGATTAAAGGCATGCGCCACCATCGCCCGGCCACTTAGCCTCTTCTAGGGGATGAAGGCAACAGGCAACCATGAACAAACCACCCAAGAGGAAAGAGCAAACTGTCAACATTTGCAGATGAATTGATTACATACCTAAAACATTCTGAGCACTCTTGCTCTCTGTCCCACATGCAGAACCAGATGTCTTACACATGTTAAATATGCACTTGACCACTAAGCTACATCCTGAACTCATCCTTCAGTATTAAGGATTGAACCCAGGGTCTCAGGCATACTAGGCAAGCTCTCTACCACTGAGCTACATCTCCAGCCTTACTCATCCTTCAGTTAAAAAAAAATACAAACAGTGCTTTGATAAATGAATCCTAAACAGAGATAGAAGAGCTTAGTGAGGTGGTCACATAGAAAACAGAGAAGAGTCCGGAAAGATGGCTGGCCCAGTGGTTAAAAGCACTGGCTGCTTTTCCTCAGGACCTGGACTCAATTCCTGGAACCCACATGGTAGCTCACAACTGTAGGCCATCCAGCGCCCTCTTCTGGCTTCTTAGGGGTACTGCAAACACATGGTATACATATATGAAGACAAACACCTATACACACAAAATAAAAAAACAAGATAGAGGAAAAAATCATTTTGAATTCAGCAAAAGTCTCCCTATTATAGTAGCCACAAAAACTCAAAAATTATTCAACAATAAACAAAAATAAGCAGGACCACTGGGCATGGCAGAGAATCTTGATAATCTCATCAGAGCAATAGGATTTTGAGTTTGAGGGTAGCCTGGGCTACATAAAAGTAACAAATGACCTAGAGGAAGAAGAAAGAAAGAGCCTCAATCATGCTACGCATGTGAAGACCCAGCATGGTAACAGCAGTTTTTTCAAAATTACTCCCTAAATTTGTTCAAAAGTTTCTCTGTAGGCAGACATTCCTTACAAGAAGCTAAAGAAATCAAGTAGAGGCAAGATAGAAATTGGGTAGGAACGTCCTAAAAGTACTAAACAGCAGCTGTTGATACAAAAATGTGTGCAGGACCAGATCAGACAGACAATGGGCAGTTCTCCACAGCATCATTCCAAAGCACAGCCCTGGCTTTGGCCTGGGAATCGCCTGGCTCTGGAACTTGCTAGAGCAGTTCCTTCACATCCATTGTGTGATTCCCCCAGGACCCATCAGGTAACAGTGCCAACCTCGAGCAGCAGGTGGGAAGTAGCTCTTGAGAACATCTGCCCAGTTTGTCTCGGTGGGTGTTCTGCCAGAGCTCTTTTGTTAAAGCACTGCTTCTTGTCAGAAACCAGTAACAATAACTGGCATAGATTTAACCCCCAATGACCTCCACTAGCTTAGGGTTGAACATTTCATGTGGTGAATACCAAGCTAACGTTAATAGTTGCACCGAAGGAATATTGTAAAAATGGCTTAGGAGACTATATGTGACTGTAGAATGATGAAATTTATGTAAGATAAAAAGAATGTGTGAGGCTAGAGGTTGTACCCAGGTACTTACACATAGCTAGGGAAGCATACCACCTAGCTCTGTGCAGACCTTTTAGTATGTTTTATATTGGAACATAAAGTTAGCCACTTACTCACAGTGAGTGAGCCCAAGCAGGCCTTCAACTCTAATCCTCTTGCCTTAGTCTCCCAAGCAGTCCCATTATAGCCTGCACCATTAGGTATGGTTCATGTGCATTGAAATTCTTTAGTGTTTCCAATAGGAACTTTGATCCAAGAAGAAATGGAACTGAAAATTTCCTCCCTAACTCCCCCCACCCCCCTCCCGAGACAGGGCTTCTCTGTGTAGTTTTGGTGGCTGGCCCAGATCTCGGTCTGTAGACCGGGCTGGCCTCAAACTCACAGAGATCCGCCTGCCTCTGCCTCCCGAGTGCTGGGATTAAAGGCGTGCGCCACCACCGCCCGGCTAAATTACATAATTTTTAAAGGCAATAAAATGTGTACCCTATATACTTTTCATTTACTGGTTTGCTAAATTAGCTTTGCAGAGTACATAAAGGGTAATCTAATGACTAAAACAAACCAGTTTTGCTTCCTTCTCTCCATGGAGATGCTATTTGAACAATTTCATATGGAAAACTGCCAGTTGTGAAACAGGCCCTCAAACATGAGAATCCTGAGATTCAAAAAGTGTAGATTTCCCCTAGAAAGCAATCAAGTACTGTCAGCACCTTATTCACCCTTAACCACAGATGAGCAGACATGGAAGCTCTACCAAGATGTGGGTGCTCTGTGGATGGATGCTCATTGGCCATGCAGTCTGCTTCCCATGTGGGCTCCTGCAGAACACCACACTAGTACTTTGAGGCCCACTCAGTGATAGCAAAAGATAGGTTGTGTCTGGGTGTGCAGTCTCTTACACAGTGTCTGTGTGTATGTATGTATTTAGAATGTCCTTCCTTCGTGTAGAAAAGCACGTTCTGAGCTAGCACAGTGGTTTAGCTGACAGACCACAAGGCTGTAAAGGACTTGCTTCGCAGGTGGGCCCAGAACCCACGTACAAATGCCAGGCAGGCTTGTAATGGCAGCACTGGGGAGGAAGACAAGGGGGTCCCTAGAACTTGGTGGCCAGTCAGTCAGTGACCCTTTCTCAAAGGAGGTGGACGACATTTCTGAGAATGACCTCTCAGAAAGTAGCCATGCCTTATCTAGGGGGCTCTGGACTGGTTTAGATTAGCTGTAAAATCTGACTTTATGTGCTTGGTTCACACACTGAGAGGAAATAGCTATTGAGTAGCTATTGTTGATTTCACCAGGAATCCATCTTTATTAGCATTTACAGATGATCTCATGAAAAGTGTGAAGCTAGCTCGGTATTTTAAACCTGGTCTTTCTTCCCACCAAACATCTCCGGTTTCTAGCTTGATCCTGGGGATGGTTCACTTTTTTTCAAGTTGCTAGAGCTTGGAACCTGGGTCATTTTGCTTCAAGTTAGTCTTCCCCCAAGTGCACTGCGCTATAAAAGCCAGTTCATTTTAATGCTGTCAAAACCACTTGTTGCAGATTGTCTCCGAAGCTTCACCGACCTGGAGGAACTCGATGAGACCGAGTTGTATATGTGCCACAAGTGCAAAAAGAAACAAAAGTCCACAAAAAAGTTTTGGATTCAAAAACTTCCCAAGGTCAGTGATGCATTTCAGTTAGGGTGGCTTTTCATGGAGAAGATGCCCAGGAAGGGTTAGATTAACTATAAACTCTGTGAACAGTTCCGACTGGTCTGTACGGTTTGCAATCAGAGCTGGAACCTGGTCATTGATAAGGTATGCAGGAAGAGAGTAGTATCAAGTCAGAAGAAAATGGGGCGTGCTGGACTGAGTACCGAAAGGCGAGTTAGCTGGGGTTGTCCTCAGTCTTTGTCCTGCTCTGTCACCAGGTGCTGTGCTTGCACTTGAAAAGGTTTCACTGGACAGCGTATTTAAGAAACAAAGTTGACACATACGTAGAATTCCCGCTGAGAGGCCTGGACATGAAGTGCTACCTACTAGAGGTAAGGCAGCCGGGAGAGGAAGTCTTGGCAGGGAAGCAGGCCCTGGGCTGCCATTGACCTCTGTCCTAACTCAGCTCTTCGGTACCTCTCCTGTGTTCTGTAGCCAGAGAACAGCGGCCCCGAGAGCTGCCTGTATGACCTCGCTGCTGTGGTGGTGCACCATGGCTCTGGGTAAGTTGTCAGCTTCTTGGAGCTGGGATACGTGGTAGCCACAGAAGATGGCTGCAATTTCTAGTCAGTCACTGGTTCTCCCTGTACTCCCTACAAAAGGGTGCAGAGTCATCAAAGGGTGCAGAGTGTTCTTTATGGGACACTCCTGAGAAGACTGGCTGTGAAGCATGAAAGCCTACAAAAGCAGCATTGGGAGCGGTCCACCCTTTACTCCACACCACTGCAGACTGGCAGTATTTGCAATGACTTACCATGTCACCTACTTTAAAGATTCATTTTTAGTTTTGTAGAGTAAGTCTGGTTTTTGGTTTTGGTTTTGTCCTGGAAGCTTGGTTTGTACCTCGAGTTTACCTTTCTGATAAAGAATAATTACTTTCAAACTTGGACAAGCCACCACCTGTATCACAGATCCATTCCCTCTCTCTGTGTGGACACTGTTCCACTGACTGGCAGAGTGGGGAGGCTGAGCCCACTGGTTTTTATAAGCACCCCGTTGCTTTTCTTACACATAAACAGGGACACTTGTAGTGTCTTTACTAATGGAAGTATTTTATATTCAGCCTCATTCTCTTTTCCCTCCTGGAATCCCTGTTGTATCCTTTCTGCCCCTGAACACTGTGCTGCCGATCCACTGTCACATTTTTGTATTCGGGAATTGTCCTTTTCTCTTCTAACATCCTACTCTTGTGTTATGGTTGCGATGTCTTCCTGTCAGTGTTGGCACTGGAGAGTTCTGCCTTCTCTCTGGCTTTCTGTGTGGGATCCCTGTGATTGTCTCACGTCTCCCTTTTTGCACTCTTCTAAAGCTGGATCTTCCCCTAGTGCGCGAGAAAGCAAGACTTCTCAGGCTCTTGGAGCAGCCGTGGCGGTCTGTGCCTGCTCTGCTCACCCAGCCAGTGCTGACAGGGCAGTCACGGAGGCTTTCTTCAAGGCACACGATGGCTGAGCTGGGGTTTCGCCCCCCTTTCTGACAAGAACTCTGTCATTAGTTTTGCATGTTTTCCAGAGGTTTCCACATACACTTACGAGGCTCTCTACAGCTCTCTAGCTTCTTCCGCTGCCTTGGTGGCATCTGCTGTGTGTTCTAGAAACTCACTTTGTGCTTAGTTGGTGTATTAGTTTCCCACTGTCAATGTATTCCTTGTCTGTGGGTTTAGAGGAAGGTAAACACAAGAGCTCAACTAACCGTCTAAAACTAGAGGTTTCCAGTTTTTATTCTTTAATTACTCTACTTATTAATACCTTTAGCACTGCACAGCTGCAGAGAGCCTTTTGTGACTTCTGTAGATTTTTTTTTTTAAGTCATCATTTGAAGCTTGGTCTCACTGTATAACCCTAGAACTTGCTATGTAGACCAGGCTGGCCCCAAACTCACAGAGATCCCAAGTGCTGGAATTGAAGGTGTGCACCACCACCCAGACCTTTTTCTGTTTACTCGTTCATTTTACTTCTGTCGTCTTTTATCTTTTGCTCTTTCTTTACAGGGTCGGTTCTGGACATTACACAGCATATGCAGCTCATGAAGGCCGCTGGTTCCACTTCAACGACAGTACTGTAACAGTGACTGATGAGGACACCGTTGGGAAGGCAAAGGCCTACATTCTGTTCTATGTGGAGCGTCAGGCCAGAGCTGGATCAGATAAACTTTAATACCTCCTCTGACCACAATTCAACTTTACCGGACAAACATTTCCAACTTTCCATAAATACTTGATCCAAGAGTTAATTTCGTTATGCACTTTTCAATTTCCAGTTTGGGGTTTAGTTTGGTTGATGGTAGTGACTTACTCAGTATGGGCACCAGCTAATTTTTGTTGTTGTCACCAGAAAACCTCGGCAGGCATTTGGATTGGCTGCTTTAGTTGTAATAACTCGAGTTTTATATGTAGTTTCCAGGACTTAGTTCTGTTTGACTTTTTATATTAATGTTTTCAGTTGTCACCAAGGCACATGCTGAGAGCCACCCTACCTGCTGCCTTTCACAGTGGCCGGCCAGGTCAGGGACTCCAGTGAGGATTGTGTGCGCAGGACCTGTGGCCCACTGGTCTCACAGTGCCTGCTCAGGAATTCCTTCTGACTGTAGGTGGTAGCTGAAGGTCAGCAGACCAGGCCATTGCCACTGCCTGTGTCTCTGGGCTTCTGTTTCTCAGCGTTAAATAAATCTGTCAGTTCTGTCGCATCTGTGCTCAAGTCCCAGAATTGCTGTTTGTTTCTGTTCTAATGTCAGTATGTCCTTGGAGCAGACAGCCAAGGAGCACTGAGAATGTTTGAAAAGCCCTGTGACTGAGCTGCATGGTAGAGGTGTGTCCCGTGAGGCGGATTGTTTGCCCATCAGAGGTGAGGTGTTACCCTCCAAAGTTGACAGTCCCCTGACTTCAGGTGTTGCTGTGGCACCCTTCCAGACAGAAGTGGAGTCATCTTTAGTCTGGGTTTTAACTCGCTCCCTGCCTGAGAGCAGAGCCAGGTGAAGTATTTTTGTCTCTGAACAAGAATGGTTTCTATTCTTGAATTCAGTAGCTTAAAAAAAAAAATTGTTCACAAAAGTAGGTAGAAGCACAGTTTGGATTCAACCCAAACTGAAATTTGGCCCATTTAAAGAAGGCGGCTCATGACGAGTGCTGGAGGCCAGTGACTGACTGTCGGGATGGAGGGAGTCAGGGCTCAGAACTCCAGCACGGCTTGTTCCGTGTTCACCTCCAAAAGGGACAAGATGTACTTCATGCAGACTTTGTAGCAATCTTATTTTTTCTATTTAAGGAAAAGTTTGGTAGCTTTTCTTGGTTAGTGTGAAGTTGATGGAGCAGACATGGCCCAGTTCCACTGTAGTATCAGCTGGATAACTTCTGCATTCCTTCCCAGCAGAAATGACACACTGGATCAGCACTTGAATACAAACCTAACTTGAACCTGTCAGGACAATGGCCACATGTGGTTAAATTGAAAATGCATTCCTCAGTCACAGTAGTCATGGTCCCAGTGCTAGACACAGTGCTGGATTGCACAGGACAGTGCAGCCTGGTGCATTTCCACAAGGCATGGGTTCTCTTGCACAACACTGGTCTGAACTGTCACGCAGACAAACAGAGCTGTGACATCGTGTTTTAAGCATCCAGGAAGACATTAAGGAACTGTGCTGAGTTAGGTAGAGCATATGCAGTTCTATTATTCTACTGGTTTGATCCACAGACAGAGTCACATGATTTGCTCTAATATATTAGAACCTTGATTAACACAACTAAGCCTGACTGTCTTTTCTGACCTTGAACAAGCTCCTGCAAATCCAGGCTCTTCTGCTTAGAAGGGAGACTCTTTGACAGTGGCACTCAGGTCTTGGCCTCTCCATGGGCAACTGTAATGACTTACACAGTACAGACTCAGGGGATCTGACACTGTCCCATCAGGTGACACAGCGGCACACTGGACTGCTGTGTTGGGAGAGCGACTTTTAAGGCAGGCAGTGCTGTTGGCAGACAAGGGAGTCCATCATCTCTGGGAATTTTTGTGGTGGTTTTATTGCTCGATTTTACTTGACAGTGTGTGAGTGGCACCATGAGGACTTTTTGAGAAAGTGACCGCACCCATTTGCATTGTGCGTCTGAACATCGTGATGTAAATGTGCCTATTTCTACTGCGCCTCTTACAAGCTTGCCTTTCTGTGTTAAGGCTTTCTCCACATCACACATTCTAGCCTGCATGTAGCTTTTTGCTCAGAGCTCATGCTCAGGCAGGGCCTCATGCATCCCCTGTCCCATCAGCCCCTGGGAACAGGAAACTCCAAGTCCTCCCACACAGGTGGGGACAAACAGTTTGTGGCAACACAAGTCTCTCTCCATGGTGGAGAAACCTATGCTTATCCACTGTATTCTACTCAGTGTGTAGTGACGACAGATGATGCAATTAAACCAGTCACGTGTGCTGGCCCTGGTTGTCCTGTGTCTCAGCTGTGGAACCTACTCAGCGATTCCTTAGAGCCAGCCTTTCCCTTCTTCGGTTTAATGTATGTGTCTTTACCCACTGTAACCTCACGTCTCTAAACCCTCTCAGGCCCTTCTGCTGCTGAAGTCAGCTCTTGCTCAAGCTCTGGAAAGGCTCAGGCAAGAGCTGTTATCACAGCCAGAACAGAATTCCCCCGTGGCTAGGGGCAGCCCTGAGAAGATGCCACAGCACAGGATGAAGGGGGCACATGTGACTGACGGGCACCACTGGGCAGTAGCCGCCAGATGAAGGGTGGCTGTGCCAAGCTCGTCTGCCATTAAGACTAGTAGTCCGTCCAGTGCCAAGGACATCACTGTGCTCAGGACTCCTTTGTTCTGCTGTGATCACATCCTAGTCCTGCTTCAGCAGCCGAGCTGCTAGGTGCACAGTGCATTAAAGGTCTCTCCTCTTTGCTGTTACTCCTGAGAAGTGGCACAACAGCAGGCGGCAGGGTGGTCCTGTAGCCTACATCGGCAGGAGGCAAGGTGGGTGGCCATTAAAGGTTCAGTGAAAGTCCTTTCAGGGAAGCTGCTGCTGTCTGTGTTTCTCGTGGTGTTGCATTAAGAGCAGCTTCGTTAGTTCCAGATCTGCAGTACAGCAGTGCCTGCCCTCCACTGTGCACTACACTAACACGCCACCCTACAAAGTAGCAGGGCAGCCGGGAGGGGCATGCATCTAAACCCACCAGACTTGCAGTTTACTCCAAGTCAGCTACACTTCTCTTGCATTCAAAAATAGAAACTGAAAAAGAGCTGCCTCTGCCCATCCTCACATTTTGGGAAATACTGAGACAGATAATGAAACCATGCAGATTTACACACACACCCCACACCCGCCTGCTCATGTACAAAACACTGCAGCTGAATCTTCTATGAAAGAGTTAAGGGTAAAAATGGAGACATCTGGGCCGAGAAATCCTTTGCCCAGTAAGGGCATTGGGATTTGAAGATAGCTCAGCCTTGACTGGAAGCCATCAATCTCCTGAGATAAAGAAAAGAAGCCTGACCCTTGGATTCCATTCACAGCTCGGAATGTGTCACATCCCTTAGCTCAGTGGATAGAACTTGCCTCTTCCTAGCAAGGGCAAGCAAAGGAGCCACACAGACAGACACACTGTGAGATCCAACAGTTAACATTCACTACCGCCTGCCAGGGAGAGAGACTGGCAGCCCAGGAGGGCTGTTGTGGCCAATCACCTCCAGTGAAAACACCTTGAAGAGCCAAGCGCCCTGTGCGCAACACTACTGTCAGCTCAGAGGGAAAAAGAAAAACCTTTTAAGGAAACTTTAACTTCAGTGGGCTGCTCTTCTGCCAGACTTTCAGGCCCTCTGAACATAAGCCGAACCACAGATGTGTCTGCGTTGTAAGTCTGGATGCTGACACCCGCCCTCCCTACCCGGAGCTTCAGCACCAGTTGTTAGCCAAAAATAAACACCATTCCTCAACCATATATGTCCACCAGTCGTGATCTGGGGAGGGAGCAGGAGGCAGGTCAGACCCTTGCCGGCCACACTCCCTCCGTGGCCGCCACTCACCATGCACATAACGCAGCTCAATCGGGAGTGCCTGCTGTGCCTCTTCTCCTTCCTGGACAAGGACAGCAGGAAGAGCCTCTCCAGGACCTGCGCCCAGCTCCGGGAGGTGTTTGAGGACCCCACCCTCTGGCCCCTGCTGCACTTCCATTCCCTCGCAGAGCTCAAGAAGGACAACTTCCGGCTGGGCCCCGCCCTGCGCAGCCTGTCCATCTGTTGGCATTCCAGCCGTGTGCAGGTGTGCAGCATCGAGGACTGGCTCAAGAGTGCCTTCCAGAGGAGCGTCTGCAGCCAGCACGAGAACCTGGTCAACGAGTTCCTTCTGCAGGTGTGCGACAGGTAGGCCGCCTTGCCCCTGAGCAGTGTGGCCTTGCTGGCCTTGGCTCCAGGGACACAGGAAAGCACACTTCCAACAGCAATACGGCTCAGACTCAGTCCAAGGCCGACAACCAGTGCCCAAGAGTTGGGTAAAATCAGCTCACTCTCAGTCTCTCAGCTCCGGAAGCTGCCTCTGTGGCAGAGGAGCAGAGAGGTTCAGCTGGCCCTGTTCCTGGAGCAGCTGTCTTCACTGGCAGCCATGAAAGGTTGGTTAGGTCCAGCTGAGCCTGAATTTTCAAGGTCAGGCCCAAGCAGCCCCCTAAGGCCTGAGACTTGCTGTTGAGGAAGGAGAGCCAAAGCCTACTGCAGAGTAGCAGTGAGTGAGTGTGAGGAACACACGACTTCCCTTGCATAGTACCCAGGGAGTGTTGTGATTGTCAGAGGAGCCAAAGGGATGCCCCGAGGCAGTGTGATGTGCCAGTATGGGGTTACCAGATTTTTACCAAAGAAGAGATATACCAACCAGTTAATTTGAATTTGAGATACAGCAACTCATGCCCTACAAACAACCGCTATTTGATCTTTTGACTCATCCCTTGCACAGGCTGACCCACCAAATGGGTTGGCCACACCTTCCCGCATAGGGCAGCTCTGGCCAACGTGGCTCTGCCAGCAGTTGGCGAGAGAGCTCGGGCTAGCTGACAAGCTTGAGTGGTTGCCAGCTGCTGTCACTCAAAGTCAATAGCCACGGTAGCCAGCTCACCACAGGAGAACGGGAAATAAGTACGGTAGCCAGCCTCTCACTTCTTCTCTTTTCCCCAAGTTGGATATTTGTAGTGGCTCTGACTAGACCAGGCCAGGCCATTTTGATAGGTTTCACTAGGCTCAAAAAACCAGACCGCAAGGTGATGGGTGGAAGGGGGAGGGTCACAACCCCGAATTGCTGGAAGATAGCTGGGTTTAATCCCCCAATCGGCAAGATTTGACGTCAGGTTACAGGGTCTCCCCAGCAGGTCCCCAGTGTCAGAGAAAGTGCAAAGGGAGTCGAGTTCCCAATTCTGATGTTGTACAACTGACCCCAGACCCACTGTTTAAACTTGAACTCACTGCATACCTTTTTTCTGCAAACAGAAATTGTCTCGTGTCACAGGGTGAGAGGATGAAGTGACACGGTAATACCCAGTGCATGGGAGAGAGTCGCTGTTCTGGATTCTGCCTTAGACATTCTCAATCTAAAACTCCAAGGCCAGGTCAGGCAATATGCTGAGGGCTTAAATGACGGCCATGAGTTACGGTGTCTGGCCTACAAAGGATCTACTAGTCAAGTCACCTGAGCCACTCGGAGCAGTCTCTTCATCTGCAAAACTGGGGCAGCACGCAGCAGCGGGGAGATTAGTGCCAGTGTGCCCAAGGCCCACGGACTTGAGGGAGGCCTGGGCTCAGTGTGGGAGATGGTGCCACGCCCGTTCTATTTTAAGTTACTTTCATCTTCCGGGGCACAAGGGGGAAGAGCTGACAAGGCGCCAGGGACCGTAGTCTGGAAAGGAACCTGCTCCTCCAATCCAGCTTCGGCTCCTTGACCGCAGCCCAGGCTGCCCTCCTGGTCTCCAGGAAAGGGGGTTATGTCTGCCCGCAGGGGTGCTCTGCTCACTCGGACCTCAGTCCTCACGGGTGCGTGGGTACACACTGCCACACCACCTACCACCCAGAAGTGAACTTTGGCTCAGCCGTGTCAGCCACACCACAGATAGGTAGGTCTCGGGAGCGTCCCCGAGTGGACCAACTTCAGGGCCCGGCTCTAGCTGCCCTGGGTTCCAGGCTGCAGACCCAGGGGATGCAGTGACTTCAGGTAATGGCGCTGAGAGCTAGATCCAACCAACACTAGGGCTTTTAGTCATTAGCCACTACCGCAGGAGACTTCTGTCCCCAGAGTCCCCGCCGCGCACGGCTCCCAAGCCGGGGAGGATCTAAGACAGGAGTCCCTCCCCGAGATTCAAGGTAACAGCTCCAGCAGACGCAGGGGACAGGGGGCCCCGGCTGCGGTCCTAGCCTTTCGGACTCCAGCCGCCGCCTCCGGGGAGGACTCCGCGTCCTGCCGCACCTCGGCCCCGTGTCACCGCGCTCTCCCCGCAGGTGCCCCAACCTGGCGTCCGTCACGCTCTCGGGCTGCGGCCACGTCACCGACGACTGTCTGGCGCGCCTGTTGCTCAGCTGCCCGCGCCTGCGCACGCTGCGCCTCGAGAACTGCGCGCGCGTCACCAACCGCACTCTGGCGGCCGTGGCCGCGCACGGGCGCGCGCTGCAGACGCTGCACGTGGACTTCTGCCGCAACGTGAGCGCCGCTGGCCTGCTTCGCCTGCGCGCCGCCTGCCCGAGCCTGACCCTGAGCGCCGAGCACAGTGCGGCCATGATCCCCGACCAGCCGCCGCGCGCCCGCGCCTGCGCGGCCTCGGTGTTTCCGGCTGCACCGGGGGGACTGTGCCTACCTCACCCCACCAGTTCCTGTGGAGGACGCGCACGCGATTAAACGAGCGGATGCTTGGAAAACACTTGGTGGTTCTTTTTAAACGGCCGCCCCGACCCCGCGGTTCCAGCCCGCGCGCGCTCACGCGCCCTAGCGGCCGGGCCGCGCACTAGGCTGGCGAGGAGCCGCTGAATGGGGGAAGAACTCGAGGCTGGGGCCTCCCTAGCCGCTCATGCCCACACCGAAGCAGGATGCACTAACCATCCTAGAAAAGTCGCTCCCGTCCTTGCATGACTTACAGTTACCAGAATTTATCCTGCAGTTCTCACAAGGGAAAAATGCATAACTTTATAAAAAGCCAGTATTTAAAGATAAAAGTAGTAGCCCTAGTTAAGTGCTTGGATATGGAACCATTATTAGCTGATGAAAAACGAGACTTTGATTTCCTAGATTTGCTGGCTGTGGCCCTGGACTTCTGGTCCATTTCACTTTAGCGGTCCTGTCCCCATGACCGGGGCCTAGACCGGGGCGGGGCAATCAGGGTAAATGGCCACAGCCGGGAGGCGGGCAAGCGCATCGGGGCTCCTCCCACCGCCCACTCTAACCTGCAGCCAGGGTTTTCAGTGTTCTGTGAAATGGTTTCCCGATTCCGACCCACAAGTTCCTTCATTTGTTTCCAAATGAGAAACAGCAAGAAAAAGACAGATTCTGTTCTGTTCTCACGGAACCTCTATTCTAGTAACTGGTCTAGAAGGCGGCTTGGGGGTAGGGTGAGGATGACTGGGACTGGTGGCAACCCTGGGGTGGGGAGGCACTCAGAAGGGGCTGACCCAACTAAATCTCACGGAGAAGGTGACACTTGCGCCATGAAGCAAGCCAGGGAGCCCAGCAAGCCAGATGGAAAGTGTTACAGGCCAAGAAAGTGCAGGGTGCCAGACTAGGAGCGCGGTTGGGGTGTTAGCAACAGCAGTGAGATCAGCATGGCTGGAGCAGGGAGGAGAGGCGTTGAGAACGGGATGGAGGGAGCTGCGAAGGGCAGATTGTGGGGAGGATCACACAGGTCCCCTCGTGCCAGCAGGAACCAGCACACCAAGCGCGGGGAAAGCCTGTGAAATTCACTGAACGTCAGTCGTTCGGGCCCATGTAGCAGGCCCTGCCTCCAAGTCCCTAGGGACTGCTGAGGGGCTTGCCTGCTGCCGCCACGTTCGGAGCAGTGGCAGCGCCTAGCTCAGACTCAGAAGGCACACACACTAGCCCTGGGCTGGCATAATGCCTTTCAGTCTATGGCAAAGCCAGTGGCCCAGCCAGGGGAGTGTCCCAACTGTGATGATGATCCATTAGCAGGCAGATCTCGGCAAGTACATGGCACCTTCAGAGAAGGTGGGTAAGCCAGGGCAGACGGGGCTGCCAGAACCCCTGGAACCGGCCTTGGGAGCCATCTGTGCCTTCACAGGCTTTATCAGACCACATTTTCCAGCAGCCCCTGGAATGCTTGTCTTCCCGAGGTGTGCACGGCCTCTGCACCAGGCAGACCACCCTTCTGGCTGGAAACTGCCCCAAGACCACATCAAGCCGGAGCCTGGGGTCAGTACAGACCAGGGCCAGAGTGCTTAGGTGGTGGGCCCCAGAGTCTCTGGGAAGTCTGAGGTGGTGCTCTGGGATTTGTTTTACAGGGGCACAGGCCAGTTACTGCACTAGCTGAGCCTCCTGGATTCTACTGTGGCAGTGCTGGCCTGTGACCCAGTGCTTTTCCCAAGAATGTAAAGGGAGACCACCTGACCTGGAGAGACCCTCCTGCCAGCTCTTCCAATCAACGTCCAACACATGCTCTTTGCTAAATACCCAGCTTACCAGACCCAGTGCTTCATCTAGCAAAGGTCACGATCTGGGAGAAGTGGAACAAACCCACGTGTGCATGGACAGCTAGGAAAAGCTTGATTTAAAGGGTCTGCGTTTTCTTGAGATTGATAAAGGACATAAATCTGCACGTATTTGTTAATGAAATGAGGCCAGCAATTAAGAAACTATACAAATCTCTACAGGGGGTGAATGTGATGCAGGTAAACCAAATCTTTGCCCCCAGACCCAACTGCTGCTCCATAGATAAGAACACTAGTCTTGGAGAATCAAGAGAAGGAAAAAACAAAGCAAGCATGTTTCCAGCCAAGAGACGGCGTCTGCATCTGCGCACCCTTCCCCAGGGCCGGACCTGAGACAAGTGCATCAGGTTTGGGCACCACCCTGTGGCCATGCTCCTACTCTCTCCAGGCAGAGCAAATCTGCCCTTCTAGGCTCAGCCACAGGGTTAGGCATGATTTTCAATTGAGATAAACTGAAGCCTGCAGACTGCACACCCTTAGCTCAGCAAGAGGGAAAGCCTTCCTGTCACTAGGAGGAAAGCCAGAGGAGTCAAAGGGACCTTAATCCCATTAGCACAGAGCCTTACTTAGTGAACTCTCCCGGTCCAGAGGCCCAGGCAGTGCCTTCCCACCTCAGGCTCAGAATGAAGGGCTTGTCTTCAGAAGTCCCTGGTGCCCCCCAGAAGCGTTAATCTTTCTCTAAGGCCCAATTCCATAGGAAAACTTTAACAAAAGGATACCACAAGCCTCAGCTTTATCAGGGTTTCCTCTCAGACTCATGCACTGATATCATGGCTGGCAGAACCTCATTTTTCTTTCCTGTTCTCTGAACACAAACACTTGCCTTTCCACTAATAAATCACTGCCTTTCCATTTCTCTGCGTGGTCCCTTATTTGAGCCTGCTGTCAGCACTGACCTCTCTCTTGGGTCCACAGGAAGCAGCCTGTGACACAGACTTGGCGGGAGTAAAGAGACAAGCTGCCCACAGACCTCCAGCTCCTGCTGGGATACTGCAGAAGCCTCACAGCCACCACATTCAGATGACATTCTAGCACAGGTGGGCACTTATCAATGGCCCACAGGGGCTGGGTTCAAGCACCAAGCGGGGCTCTTTCTCAGCCCCCCAGGTCCCCACCATCCACACACGAGCCCTCATGTGAAGTCGGTTACCCGCTCCTCCACACTACGTATCTACGCACGCCGAGACCCTGCAGGCGCCGCTTTCGGGGCCACCTTGCCCGCTCACATCCTTTGGTACTATTGCTTGCTCCTGTCTCCTCTAGCTCTTTACCACGTGGCATTGGCACAGAGATGCTGTCTCACACCGGATGTGCTGAGGCTTTGCCGGAGGAGGAGGTGGTGCTGAAAAGCTCTGCTCTAGGGTGAGGGAACAAAACACGAGACCCAGGATGCCAGCTGAACAAAGGGAAGGAGACAGTCAAGCCCTGGTTCTCCCACCACTGTGCTCCTCAGGAATGTCTTCTTCAGACGGACCCTGTCCCCAGCTTCAGAATGGTCAAAGTGCATCAAAGTTCAAAGTGACACCGGCTGGCACCTGGGCTCATGTCTGCCTCAACTCCTAGCCCAGAGCTTCCCTGGATCAACAGCAGCAGCCCCCACTCTGATTCCTGAATCTGCTTTATTTCTCTGCATAAGGAACCCTGCACAGGCGAATCAAACTAAAACAAAATAAATATATGAATATTCATGTAAAACTGTCCTTTCTAATGAACAATTATACACAATGTACAATTTCATGTTCACTGGGTGAGCTTACAAAAATGTATCATTCCCAACTAAAAATGCACCAAAATGGTTCCATGCAAACTTATCCAAAGTGACCAAAAATACAGAGGGAAACCTGACTGAGCAGTTTCTGCTTTTGTTTTTGTACAATCACAGAAAAATAAAAACATCTAGTTTTTTGTTTCATTTGAAGTAACTAAATGTGGCCACTGTTTATGTCGGCTTATGCTCCTAAAACATCTAGCAGTCACCACGGAAGTGTACCAACATCAATCGGAAGTGAGCATTATGGAGAAAGGGTGACAGCGCCCTCAGGCGTCAGTAGTCAGTGTCAGAGCCCTCGGCGTTGTCCACGTTTCTCGAGAGCATGTAGTTGTCCATGTCAATTGAACGGCAGTTGTTGATGGCATAGCGCAGGCGCTCCGCCATGACCAGCTGGCTGGAATAGGGGGGCAGCCGCAGCTGGAAGAAGCAGGTCTGTGAGGTAGGCAGACTGTCATAAGGCTGTGGAGAGACAGACCCAGAACTGTTACCAAGGGCACCACAATACCAGAGAGCACAGAGCTGCTCACTACCACCACCCAGACAGGAAAGGGCTTCTCCCTGACTTCAAGATAGATTCTGAGGCTGAGAGAGTCCATGTGGCTCATTTGCATGGAAGCAGAGATTAGGTCCTGGCAGAGGCACATGGGATCCACTGTCCCGGGGGCAAGTTACTTCCTCCAGTGGCCCTGTAATGTCAAGTGACAAGCCCTGACTAGGTAGGACTGCTTCAGAACACTGCACAGAACCTGTCAGAGTAAGAGGCGAGAGTCCCCTCCTGCCTACCAAGGGGCACAGATTTGAGGTCATGGTGGGGATCCCCCAAGACAGAAAGTGAGTGGAAGGGGCCAGGTGCTGTCCCTTGCCTGCTGCACTGCGGTCTGAGCACCTCACCGCTGGTTGTCACAGCCAGTGAGGAAAAGCAGTCAAGCCAGGGACTGCACTTAACCCACAGGGATGCCCACACTGAAAACGGTCATTACCAAGACTGTGTTTGGAAAGCTGGCTTTTGTTGTTGGTGGTGCTTTGTTTGGTTTTGTTTCAGACAGGGTTTCTCTGTATAGCCTCAGCTATCCTGGAACTCACTCTGTAGACCAGGTTGGCCTCAAACTCACAGAGATCTGCCTGCCTCTGCCTCCTGAGTGCTAGGATTAAAGGAGTGTGCCACTACACTCAGTTTTTAAAGAGGAATTTTAAAAGTGTACAACTGAAAATGGCTTCTGCTAGAAAGCATGTTATACATCTTCTCTGGCCCTCCCTGCTAACAACCATTTTCCAAACTATTTGCAAGGATAGTGATGATCTTATGTTATTTATTTTTTAGACAAGGTCTGTTATATAGCTCAGGCTGGCCCTAAATTAAACTCCTCCTTTAGTACTGAGATTACAGTGTATCACAGCTGGCTATACAGTATTTACTTTTTTATTTATTTATTTATTTATTTATTTATTTATTTATTTATTTATTTATTTATTTATTTATTTTTAAGGTTTATTTATTAGGTACACAGTGTTCCACCTGCAAGTATCCCTGCAGGCCAGAAGAAGGCACCAGATCTCATTATAGATGGCTGTGAGCCACCAAGGGATTGCTGGGAATTGAATTCAGAACCTCTGGAAGAGCAGTCAATGTTCTTAACCTCTGAGTAATGCATCTCTTCAGCTCCACTACACAGTATTTAATAGTAAATGTTTTTCTCCTTGCTGGGTTGTGAGTGCCAGGGCAGGACTCCCTACTGGTTACCTTATCCCCCTGGGCCCCCCACACCAGCCTTCTCTTCCTTTGTGGTGACATATTGTGTACCCTAATAAAATTTGACTGAAGATCAGAGAACAGAAAAAGCCACTAGATTAGACATAGAGGTCAGGCAGTGGTGACACACCTCTAATCCTAGCACTCGGGAGGCAGAGGTCCATCTGGATCTCTGTGAGTTCAAAGCCACCCTGGACTACAGGAGATTGATTCAGACTAGGAGAGAAACAAAGCCAGGCTAGTGGTGGCACACACCTTTAATCCCAATACTGAGAAGCACATGCCTTTAATAACGAGAAAGGTATATAAGGGCTGAGGAGACAGGACTAAAGGCTTTTTCGGCTGAAGAAAGCTTTTCAGGTTGAGAAGTCCTAGAGGTAAGAGGTTGTTTAGTCCTTTGTCTCTCTGATCTTTCAGCATTCACCCCAATATCTGGCCCTGAGTTTTTTTTTTTTATCATAAGACCTTTAGAAGTTCGAACTACATTTCTTGCTTGGCTTTCTTTGAAATCAGCGCTCCTCAGAGCTTCCCCAGGATGGCTACATTTCAGTGGTGGGATGCAGAAGCTCATCAGGCTGCGTGCGCGAGTGTATCAGACAGAGAGAGAGAGAAAGAGAAAGAGAAAGAGAGAGAGAGGGAGAGGGAGGGAGGGAGGAAGGAAGGGAGGGGGAGAGACTGATGACAGGGATATGGGCAGAAAAGCTGAGGGCAGTGAGGAAGGGAAAGGCCAGCAGATGGCTTTGATGACCTAAACGTGGACACTAGAGAAGTGATCTAAAAGCCACAAAGGAAGCACCCCCAGTGGTCAGTTTACTGAGGCAGGAGATTAGTGATAGATTAACTCCTGAGGTGGCTAGGCAGCCCGGGGCACATTCAGGGCAAGGGTCATTTCTAGAACTGAAGAGAAGGAGCTATCACCTCTCCCCACCTCACCGTGCAACAACAGAACAGACTAGCAGCCTATAGTCTCTGGCTAGTCACGCAGAAAATGTATGGAAAGGCTCTTTTCATAGCCTCCCCGCACAGCAGTCCCAGGGAGCCTAGGCCCTAGCCAGGAGCAGAGCTCCATCTACAGCAGTGGTCCCCAACCCCCACAGGCTCACAGATCAAAGATTTACATTACCATTCATAACAGTAGCAAAATGACAAGTTACGAAGTAACAACAAACTAACTTTACGGTTGGAGATCAGCACACACGAGGAACTCTGTATTAAAGGGTCGCAGCATCAGGAGGGTTGAGAACCACTGACTGGTTCAACCTCAGGAGCAGGGAGCAGCTGAAGAACCCAGGGCAGACCCTGAAACTGAGGGGGGTGCCGGGGGAAGCATCTGATTTTCTTTCCCAAACACCATGCACCTGCAGAGAACTGCCCCACACAGGGAGAGGGTAGGGTATGGCTGAGGAAAGAGGAGGACAGAGATACTCTAAGGGCTGTGCCCACATGTGGAGGCCAAGAGAAGGTCAAGCAGAAGCAAGGGAAAGGATCCCAGAGGACGGCATTCTAGAAGAGAGGACACTGGCACTGTCCTTAAAGAGCAGTGCTTGCTAATACAGCTGGAGGGGTATGGAGGAAACCACTGAGACAGACAGAACACAGGGGTGGGGGCAGAGGCTGGACCGTGGAGAAGGCAAGCAGCATTTACCCTGGAAAGAGCCACAGCCGGTAGCAGACTTAGAAAGAAAGATGACTCTGGACCCCAATGTGTGCTTCAGATTCTGAGCTGTTTATTTCTAAACCACCTTCAAAATGCAACTAGGCTGGGGATCTGCAGCTAGAGCCTCTATGGTGGCACAGATCTCCAGGTTCCTGCACACCTGGTGTGCACCAAACAAGACCGGACCCTGGCACACAAGTTCCACACAGAAAAGGCACAGGGCCCGAGAGGCAGAAGCATGAGGATCCCTTGCCCACTCAGGCGGGGTAGGGAAGGTGCTGGCAGCAACAGGCTTCCACATTCACCACAGCTAAGTGAAGTTCAAGTTTATACCTGAGGTTTTTAGAACATTTGGATGTTCCAAGAGCTAAAGCCTGAATGTGTGGGCCTTCGGGGGGGATCAACTTTGGTTTCCCCAGCAGGCAAGCCACAGAAAAGGAAGGAGAGGGCAAATTTTAACCAAGGAAGGAAAGCTGCACACTTACCCTATCGACCTTCATGATTTGAAACCTCTGAGAAATGTCGGCCGTGTTGGCCGGCAGCCGGGAGCGCCCAGACACAAAGCGCATGAAGAGCACCCGCTCCTCGTTGGAGAACTCCTCGAGCGTGCGCCAGAGCCACTGCACCAGCTGGTGCTGCTCGTCCACCTCGCGGTAGCGCACCACCTTCTTCAGGACTTCCACACAGATCTCAGGCATCCCACACACCATCTGCTCCAGCTGCTTGGCCGTGAGGAGGGACAGCAGCGGCACAGGGACAATCCAGGACATCCCTTCCCGAACTGCAGCCACCTGTCCCAGGAAAGGTTCTCATTAACACACGCGTGCATGGAGACCTCATGAGCACACGCTGTCCACTGGGGCTGAGGGCTGTGGCCAGGGCTGTCCTGTCTGAGTTCTGCCCTGCTCTGGAACTCTTACACTCTCTTCAGTCTTAATTCCAACTCCATGTAGTCTGCCTTCTCTCCCACGAATTTTAGTGACGGGGGGGAGGGGGCATTCAGTATCCACCCACTCATGTTTCTAGTCACATGCAGCTATGTGCTGTTGTGTGCTGTGTGACTGGCCCATCTCCTCTTCCACAGAAGCCACTCTTGAGGACTGGTATGAACCAGATGGCTATTCTCATAAAAACTGAGTCCATTAGAAAACAATTTTTGAAAAGCACGAAGAATATATAATAGAATGTCAATAAAGGCAAAGAATTTAGTCAAGACACTGCATTCTAAGTCTGGGATCCAGCACTTCCTATCATTTAACTGTTCTCAAATGGAAAAGGAGGTAACTAGTGTTCACCATGAGTGATGACGAGATGATCTGGGCAGCTGAGAACAAAGGAGGAGGCGCCAGTCCTCTGCTCAGAAGCCCCCTGTGGCACAGGAGGCAGCCTGACTTACCCCAAATGCTTCTTTCTGGCCCAGAAAAGGAAAACTGCACCCTGGAAAGGCCCTGGGGGGACCTGCTGCTATAGTTACTGTGCCTGGGCCGAGAGACCGCTGATGGCATCCCCAAGGCACTGAGGGTACATCCACACTACAGACTGTCAAAATCAACCCACCAAGGAACTGAGGGTATATCCACACTACAGACTGTCAAAATAACCCACCAAGGAACTGAGGGGTATATCCACACTACAGACTCAAAATAACCCACCAAGGAACTGAGGGGTATATCCACACTACAGACTGTCAAAATAACCCACCAAGGAACTGAGGGTATATCCACACTACAGACTGTCAAAATCAACCCACCAAGGCACTGAGGGTACATCCACACTACAGACTGTCAAAAT